AAACCTCTGGAGCGCGGACAGGTAGTGCGGGCGGGAGCTGTGCCCGGCCCGGCCCGGCCCGGCCGGTGTAAGAGCCCTCGCCGCGGTGCGTTGCAGGTGAGGAAGGCGGTGGAAGCTCTTCTGGCGTTCGCCCGGAGCAAGGCCAAGGCAGACGCGCTGCTCCTGAACGAGGCCGAGAGCGTCCAGCTGCTGGTGACGGTCTGGAAGGTGCCGCGGGTGGCGCAGACCATCAGAATGTAAGTTCCCCCGGGTCGGTGGGGAAAAAAGAGCTCTGCGCTGTGCTTCGGCCCCGCTTTGGAGTAACTGTGCCAGCTTTGTGCGCAGGGAGAACACTGATTCTGTGGGTTGCCAATTAAAAGTTATGTGCTTTTCAGTTCTGAAGCTCGAGAAAAGAAATCCGTCTCCTCTTTGCCTAAACCCGCCACCAAATCGTTAGAAAGATTCCTCCTTCTTTCTTGGGATATCCAAACCTGAATGTGAATTCAAGTTTCTCTGAAGCTGTAGCTGTGCTGTATTGAGGGTGTTTACATCCATCTCCCAAGGCCCCACGGTCACAAAGACCTGTCCAAGGGCTGGTGGTGTGAAGAGAGGAGAGCAGAGTATCCTCCTCCCGGGAGCTGTGTGGGAACAGCTGCTGGCAGGACAGATGGATTCAGTGCTGCATCTGACTGCAGCTGTGGGATACAAAGGTTTAACTTCTGCAGTTCTGTGTGCTTTATCACTGAGGAGCTTTAGTAGCTAACAGAATCCAAACACAAGAGCTTCCCTGTATTGTTCAAGGGTAATGACCTCTCAGTGTAGACCTAGTTCTGGAAAAAACTTGTTTCTCCTATTAGACATTCTCTGTGCATCTCATATTCCCATTGCAGACCACTGCCCCATGGCATTCGACCAGACACAGCTGAGGTTTGTCTGTTCACAAAGGATGAACCAAACTTATCAGCAGAACAGACTGAAAATTTCTACAGGAAACTTTTAATCCAGAGTGGCATCAGAAGCATTAGCCAGGTAAGAGAGATATATGATGCTGTAGTATAGTATTGTCATTTCTTTTCTCTCGTACCTACAAAAAGGGACAGTAGTTGTTGTTTCTGCTGAGTAATATTCTAATCTCAATGATTCCGAGTTAAAGATCTCACTAGTAAGATTTTTCTCACTATTGAAAGTGTTTCTAAAATTCAAAATTTACTCAATAACTTCTTCAGTTTGAAACAGGATTTTTAGCAATCAGATATAATTGCTAGGCAAGTGTTCAATATTGAGTTTGAGGAACCAACTGGAAAAACTCACAGTGAATATTTGAGTCCTTTGCAGCTGGGTTGGGGTGTTTATGCTACTGTCAATAAAACTAGAAAGTAAATTTATTGTTGTATTTAACATTGACTTAGATGTTACTATACACTCAAGTTGTGCTTGGTGATTCACAGTTCCTGTGCCAGAGATCCATGTTTGATTCTTAAAACAGCAGGAAAAGGATACAGAACTTTCTGATTGTCATCAGCATTCTAAACCAGTGGGCCAGTTGTGCACCTTAATTCTGTGCAGCTGTCAGCAGCAGTCCAGGCTGTGTTTTCAGCATGGGGACTAAAGTGCTCCTTGCATTGCAGGTCATCCCATACAAAACTCTGAAGAAGGAGTACAAGCTGTTTGAGGCAAAGCGTCGCCTCCTCAACAGATTCGACCTCTTCCTGTCTGATGACAGAATCAGGAGGCTCCTGCCCTCACATCTAGGGAAGCACTTCTACGAAAAGAAAAAGTAAGTCTTTAAATTTTGTAAATCCATTTTACATTATCTATTTTAAGATTAGATCCTTCTTAGTACAGGGAGGGGTTGGTTTTAGTTTGAGTTTTCAGATTTTTTTATGTCTTTTCTATTTTAGGGCACCTTTGTCTGTGAACCTGAAAGCCAAAAATCTTGCTAAGGAACTGGAAAAACATATCCAAGGGACTACACTCCCAGTTAACAATAAAGGCTGCTGTTAGTAAGTATGAGTAGATTGATACTTCACGTGAAGGATGGTTGTACCTAACTGTGGGAATTTCAAGGGGTTTTATTCCATTTATATGTGAATATTAAGATGTCACCTTAAGTTAAGATGTTCAGTGTCACCACTGAGTGGGTCAGAACATCTCTGGAGTCATGAATGGTGGAAGGTCATGGTCATGAAAGGTGAGGAAAGATGTTCTGCAGGGTTAATCTATAAAGAAATCAGTAGTTCTACTTAGAAGTTTTTACTGGGAAGTTTTACTTTTCTCTTTTTCCTTATACCTAAGGGATTTCTAGGCACTTTGTTACTATCAAACAGCATGTGCAAGTTTAGAAAAATATTACTGTAAAATTAGATAAAAACTATTTCCGAAGTACTCTATTCTAGTAAGATTTTTTTGTAATGTATTGTGTATCTAAAAGAATCTAAATTGGTAATGTGCTTCATAATATAAGGCAGAAGTTGCATATTGAAATATGGAAAGTTGAATGCAGGTGAATCTATTCTAACTTATTACAAAGGATTTCTGCAAGAGCCACCACCGTGAACATTAGGTAACTAACTGCACATAAATGGCTTTTCTCACTTCTGGGTATGCCTAAATACCAATAACTTGACTTATGCTTATTTGCCCACATGTAAATGTTGCTCTGCTCTTCTTTCAGCACAGCACGTGTAGGTCACACTGGAATGAAAGCAGATGAGCTATTGGAGAACATCATTGCAGCAGCCAGAGTGATTGCTAAGAAGTTACCAAAGGTACTGCTGGTTGATGGCATTAAAGCCAAGTGGATTCATACCTCAGCTTTGTTATTTTTACATAATATAATGTGTTTGTTGTTGCAGAATTGGAAAAATGTGAAAATTCTTCACCTCAAAACACTTAAATCGGTTGCGCTTCCAATATTTACTGCAAATGTCACCAACTTGGATGAGCTTGACAGACAGCCATCTCTCCAAAAGAAGGAAGTAAAGGTAAAACCAAATTTCTTTACACTTTGCATGCAGTCAGATTGGTGCAGCTAGTTCTCTGTCTTCCTTTTCTGCATTATAGTGTTGGGTGTAAACGTTTTAGGAGTTGATCCCAGGAATTTATGGCTAAAAATGGGTTAGGCTTTCCTGCCTCAGTGCTTCATACTCAGGAATAATAATGAAATGATGGAAACTCCCTGGAAAAAATGTTTAGTGTTTCTAGTTTCTAAATTAATGTTAGTAGACAGTCTATTTTTTAACTACATTAAATGATTCTTAGACATTTAGAAATGTGGGGTTTGTCTGAGATGTACTTCTGATTAATTCTAGAAGGGAAAAAACAAGAAACAGAAGAAGATAGCTGAAAAACAGAACTCAAGTCAAGTCACTCTGACAACCAAAAAGAAGGCTAAGGCTAAGGCTAAGGCTGCTTCCCAGGAGGTTGTGGTGAAAGAAAAACTAGAACTAGTCCAAGAACCAGGTGATCATGATGATGAAGAAATTCCACAGCTGGTGCCTATACAAACAAGCTCAGCTGAGCTGAAGGTAACTGTTTAATAATACCGAGAAACTCGGATTTCAGTTAAAACTAAAGATTTTGAACTGTTTAAATTGTTCATAGTTCCCTAAGGAGCAATGTGCTAACACACTTCAAGTGGACTAGGACACAGTTCAGTTGACAGAAAGCATTAATCATTTGTAATGGTTTTCTTTGATCCTTCTTCCTGAAAAACAGGAAATATGTTTCTTAGCTGGAAGGGTAATGTTTTTGTCTCTCTTAAATACAGAAAATGGAAGCAAGTCCAGAAAAAGGTGACAACATGGGCAAGAAAACCGAAACACCCCTTGGTAAGAGAAAGAAACAACCTCTAGCTCTGGAGACTCCAAAACCAAAACGTGGGGTTACAGCAGAGAGTGCAGACTTGAAGACATCAGCAAAACAGAAAAAAGACAAGCCAGTCAGCAAGGCAAAGGAAGCCATAAAAGAAAAAGACATGAAAAAGACTCCAAAAAAACCTGAAGCAAAGTCTTTTGCAACACCCAAAGCTGGCAAAGTAATCCAGTCAGCCAAGAAGGCTTCAAAATCACCGAAGCAAGCACCCAAGAAAGGGCGAGTGCCACAGTCAGCATGAAAACTTTTCTGTTGTAACACATTTTATACAGTTATCCACTGGTGTATTTTTAGTAAACAAATATATTGATGAAGTAAAATACCTTCCTAAGAAATCCAATCCCCAGAGCTTTTGTTCACCAAGATCTGTAATGATTTGGTTTTTTCTATTTTACAAGTTGGTACAAATAAACTCCCTGTCTTAATGGCTCTATCACCTTTTATCTACCAAAAGTACTTGAATTGTTCTCTGTATGATCACTTCATGCCCTTCTGAGAGTGGGAATACAAGGCAGGTTTGTGTTGAAAAGTCCTAGTGGTAAGAACCTTTATGAGCAATATTTTACTCAAATCCAAGTAGAAGCGTGGCAAGAGACAAGAGGATTCATCAACAGCATCTAACCACCCTAATTTGCCATTCAAAACCCCCTATCCCATCTTTTTAGGGCATCCTATATATTTGCTACCCAGAAAGTAAGCGGGTACTAAATAAAAAGTGGTAAAAGAGACACTGGTGAATAGGAAACACTGCTTGATCAATTGGTGTCAACTTCTTGTAACCCTTCTGTAACTTTTCAGTTGTGAGCCAAGTGCTATGACAGGGATTGAGTCTGTAGTTGCAGTAAACCAACAGCACTCACTGTCACAGGAACAGTCTCCTGACCAGCATCATTCTTGGCACACTGTACATCCACAAATAGGTGGAAGCTCCATATGCTTTTAGGCCTGTCAGGCTTTCTTTTTGTTGGCTTGGTATTTCTAGTTACAACAGTGTGGCTTACCCATTGTTAAATAAACTGTTGGTTATAAGGACCCTGGGAGAGGAGGCACAAAGAGATCCCACACCCAAATGTAAATCCTGTGCTTGGCGCCCCGAGAGTGTTCGATGATATGCACCAGGTCGTTACAGAGCACAAGGGTGAAGTGGAATATACACCTTGCCTTACATAACTTGCTGAATTTCACATCTGCACTGACAACTAGTTTCCTGTGTGTCAACCTGAAGTAGTACTCTGCTTTTTTTAAGCCTTCTTGAGCAGATTCAAGTCTGCATTTGCAGATGCAGATTATAACTGTCTCACGAAGCTCTGCAGCCTACGACTCACTGCGTGCCCCAGCCAGTGCAGAGGCTCACGAATGGGACACTCATCTCGGCACCACTTCTCTGGGTGCCCCTTCTGCTCCGGTGCCTGAGCAAACCGAGGCAAAGCCACCAGTGCCTGCAAGGATCGGTGTGTCCAGGTGGGGCCGTGTCCCACGTGGGGCCGTGTCTCGGGGCCGTGCCCAGGTGCGGGGTGTGGTGCGGGGCCGTGTCCAGGTGCGGGGGCTGTCCCAGGTATGGGCTGT